CAGGAGCAGCTGCTCAAAACGTCTACGTAGAAGGGTGACGGGTTTGGTCTTCTCATCCTCTTGGTCGCTCTCACATTGTCTCTGAAAGGTTAAATAGGGGGATTGGAAGCCTTTAGAGACAGGTGAATGTTGTTTCCTATCTACAGACTGATTGGGGCTTGGTTTTTTGAAAGGAAAAAGCAAGTGATCCAATAATTTACATGCAAAGAAGGTCCCCTTCCTTCCTATGGAGAGGATGTTGATCCAGCATACCAACAATATCAGCATCTCCATAACAATGAACAGAGAGACCAGCTGGGAAGTGGACAGCAGTGGCTGTGTGGGTCCTCATGGGCTGCACAGGGTGGATCTTTCAGGAATATGGACAGTTGGGTTACAAGGCCTGTGTTGATGGACGTTTGTTGGTAACAGACAGGTTTTGAATTCCCATACATGAAGCAGGTCAAATGCGAATCAGAAAGTGGTCAACTGCAGGTCAGGTAATGACCTCAGAAGCATCTCAAACTGGTGCTCTCGAAGAAAGGCCAAACCCTTTTCAACCCAGAGGAACCCTGGAACTATCATTCCTCAGGGAACCCCGGCAAAAACTACTATATCTGCAAATCTGGATACATTTGGGTGATGGTCAGCGGAAGAATTCTCCTTGCACTTGTGTTCATTGGGAAGAAATAACCCCTTACACATAGCTAAAAAGATCGTCAGGGTCAGTGGGAACCTATTTGAGAGGCGGAAATTGCTCATTGCCCAAGGAGTCCCTATCAACCTCTGAAGGAACCCTAGGGCTCCACAGGACCCTAGTTGAGGAACCCTAGGGTTCCACAGAACACTGGTTGAAGAACCCTAGGGTTCCACAGGACCCTGGTTGAGAAACCAACCTTTAAGGAACCAAAGGTGGCTTCCATGATACTCAAGAACCCAGAACTATCTGCATGATCATTGCATGAAGGTCTGGTTAATAGTTTTCTTTTTAATTAAACCTCCCTATGGGTTTACACACACCCCTCACACCTGAAATGTGTGATGGTTAGCGAGAAAATTGGTCTTTACACTTGTGTTCATTGGTAAGAATTATCCCCTTACACATAGCTAAAAAGATCGCCAGGGTCAGCGGGAATCTGAGAGGCAGAAATTGCTCATTGCCCAAGGTGTCCCTATCAACCTCTGGAGCAACCCTAGGGATCCATAGGACCCTGGTTGAGAAACCCTGCCTTTAAGGAAGCAAAAGGTGGCTTCCATGATACTTAAGAACCCAGAACTATCTGCATGATCATTGCATGGAGGTCTGGTAATAATTTTCTTTTTAATTAAACCTCCCCTATGGGTTTACACACCCCCTTCACACCTGAAATGTGTGATAAACACAAGTGTAAGGAGAATTCTTCCTGCTGACCATCACACATTTCAGGTGTGAAGGGGGTGTGTTCTGGGTTCTGAAGTATCATGGAAGCCACCTTTGGTTCCTTAAAGGTAGGGTTTCTCAACCAGGGTCCTGAGGAACCCTAGGGTTCCTCCAGAGGTTGATAGTGACGCCTTGGACAATGAGCAATTTTTGCCTCTCAGATAGGTTCCCACTGACCCTGACGATCTTTTTTAGCTATGTGTAAGGGGGTAATTCTTACCAATGAACACAAATGTAAGGAGAATTCTTTCCGCTGACCAGTTGGAAGAATTAGACCCTTACACATAGCTAAAAAAGATCATCAGGGTCAGTGGGAACCTATCTGAGAGGCAGAAATTGCTCATTGTCCAAGGCATCACTATCAACCTCTGGGGGAACCCTAGGGTTCCACAGGACCCTGGTTGAGAAATCCTGCCTTTAAGGAACCAAAGGTGGCTTCCATGATACTGAAGAACCCAGAACTATCTGCATGATCATTGCATGAAGGTCTGGTTAATAGTTTTCTTTTTAATTAAACCTCCCGTATGGGTTTTGCACTACCCTTCACACCTGCAATGAAGTGTGGGCCCGTTTGCTCATCCCTCCACCACCTTGGACGGTAACCGCATCTATATTTTTTCTTCGGCAAGGCGCGGTCATAACCCCTGCCAGAATTTTTTTGACACTTAAAGGTCATACATCTTGTGGGGGAGAAGAGTTTGGCATGTTCACCCTGGGCTCTAGATGACCTAACAGATTTTTTTTTTTGTCATCTGTATCCCATTGCGGAGATTTCCCTTCACTTCCTGTCCCCTAGGAAATGAGGAAATCCCTGCACAATTAAGGGAATTCCTTGGAGACCCCCAGGTCACCAGAACTAGTGTCCCCACTGGAAGATATGCCCTCTTATTAGTTTTCTGGGGACAACCCAAAAATTTAGTTTTTTCTTTTACTTTCACTTTCAATGATAATGGTAACCAGGACATATAGAGAGGGGGAATCTCCCTAACGGGGGCACAGACAGCAATAAAACCTGACAGGGGGTCTAATCCCCCTCCCCTCTATCCACACCTAAAAAAAAAAAGTTTTTAGTTATACTTTAAGGCTCCAATCACATCTAGGCATTTTTCATCGTGGGCAGAATCACTGCGATCCAAGGAAGCTCTGCAAAATGGACAAATCCCACCGCGCTTGTTCAGGTGAGATTCTGCCACGCTGCAAACTGGTCGAAGTGAAGCTTGTTGCCCCCAGAAGAAGCCCCTGCTCCTTTTTGAGCATCAAAGCTTCGCGCGATGCTGTTTGCCGCAACTGCAGTGCGATTTATCGCACAGAATCGCACCCGCATGTAGGTGCCATTGGAAATGAATGGCGCCTGAATAAGCGTGGTGCGAGTTGTTGGTTTTGTGGAACTTTTTGGGATCACGGGCGGGATTGCGGCAAATCTGCCTGCAATATACAAGGCGTCTAGATGTGAACGGAGCCATTGGCAACTACAAGCTGCTGAGTGTTGTCCCCCTAGGAGTGTGCTACTACCCAAATTAGAAAACTAATGCAGCCACAGCATCTGAAGACCATTAATCTGCAATATATCTATGTATATTCTTGGCTTTGGATACACTACAGCTAGGGTCGTGGATAAGGGGGGGTACCAGCAGCCCTCCTGTAGGGGGCCCAGGCCAGCAAGGGGGCCCAGAGCGAATCAGATGTAGGCAGGGAGGTTGATCGGAACAGCGGAGGGGCGATTACTGGAACCGGTCCCCTGTATGGCTCCTTCTACAGCAGCTGAAAGTTGACTTCCTGGGGCAGACTGACCACTCATGGGGAATAGGGGATCATGGGGCCCCTGTGTCCTTGCCCAAACTCAAAAAAGCCTATGAAAAAGGTACCAGGGGCAACTCATGGGGCCGCCTACTGACCCCGGGCCCTCGAGAAGTGCCCAAGTTTCCAAATGGTCAGTCCGCCCCTGTTGACTTCTCACCTCCCGTCAGCTTTCAGCTGCTGCAGAGAGAACCATACAGGGGATCGGTTCCAGTAATTGCCCCACATCACCCTCCTTGTGCACCATATGTTTCCCCCTCTTCCCAGGCCCCCCACAGTTCTGCCGGCTACCCTCCTCTCCCTTCCCACCGGCTGCAGCAGGCACTAAGACAATAGGATCCTCCGGGATGGAGAGTGGGGGAAGGTTCCAGGAAATATATCACACTTACCACGCCTTTTCCTTTCATGAATGAACACAATGAGCAATCAGTATTGGTCACTCGCTGTGTTCATTCATAACTGAAGTATAGTGAACTGTGGATTGTTTTTTTTTGGGGGGGGGGGCTGTCAGGTTGACTGTATGGGGCCCCGTGGTTTCTAACAGCAGCCCTGACTTCAGCAATGTGGCTACTGGTCACATCTGTGTGCTTTTGAATTATCATGACAGTATGTGGTAGATCAAAGTGACTATTTTGGGGGGCAGCTGCCCCTCCCCCATACTTACTAGATCCTCATCACTTTTTGCGGGATTACACAGCAGCTTCATGCGGCAGAGTCGATTACACGCGGACACCATGTTGTAGGACAGCTGAGGGAGAGATATGATCACATTCAATGACAACGTACAGAAGATGTCAGTGCCTATCAGTAATATTTTGGTAACAATTCAATCCCTCCCGTTTGTAGGTTGGGTCTCCACAGGCAGCATTGGTAGAAAGCAGGCAGCGCAGTGGCTAAGTGGTTAGTACGTCTGCCTGGCAATACTAGGATCGTTGGTTCAAATCCCAACCATGGCACCACCTGCCTGGAGTTTGCATGTTCTCCCTGTGCCTGTGTGGGTTTCCTGCAGGTACTCCAGTTTCCTCCCACACTCCAAAGACATGCTGGTAGGTTAGTTGGCTCCTGTCTAATTGGCCCTAGTATGTGTATGTATGAATGTGAGTTAGGGACCTTAGATTGTACGCCCCTTGAGGGTTAGGGATCTTAGATTGTACGCTCCTTAAGGGTTAGGGACCTTAAATTGTACGCCCCTTGAGGGTTAGGGACCTTAGATTCTACATTCCTTGAGAGTTAGGGGCCTTAGATTGTACACCCCTTGAAGGTTAGGGACCTTAGATTGTACGCCCCTTGAAGGTTAGGGACCTTAGATTGTACGCCCCTTGAGGGTTAGGGACCTTGGATTGTACGCCCCTTGAGGGTTAGGGACCTTAGATTGTACGCCCCTTGAGGGTTAGGGACCTTAGATTGTACGCCCCTTGAGGGTTAGGGACCTTAGATTGTACGCCCCTTGAGGGTTAGGGACCTTAGATTGTACGCCCCTTGAGGGTTAGGGACCTTAGATTGTACGCCCCTTGAGGGTTAGGGACCTTAGATTGTACGCCCCTTGAGGGTTAGGGACTGACGTGAATGTACAATATATATGTAAAGCACTGCGTAAATTGACAGTGATATACAAGAACCTGTAATAAATAAGGGATCATTCACGTGGGTTTAGACAAAACAAAACAAAGGGTCTCTCCACCTCTGGGAGTCTATGTGTTTGCATACAGCCATCTGTACAAATCAATTCTGGATATGAGGTTAGGAGCACCTAATGAAAGATATGGCCAATGCAGCCAACGCGTTTTGGAATTGGCCTCCCCCTTCCTCAGGGCTGAAAGTGTTACTAAACCCACGACAGTACAATCAGTCTGTAGATGCAGTAAAGCATGCTTGTTATACTCACTGTGGAACCTAAGGGGTTAATCCTCTGCGTTGTGTAAAAATGCTGTTTGATCCTGTCCTCTCTGCCCCTCCACTTGTTGAAATGACCACCTGATACAGACTGAATCTGTAGTCACATGCACATGCTCAGTTTGGCCCTGTGCTGATCACATGCACTCTCCCAAGAAAAAAAAAAACCTCTCTAGCAATACACACCAATCAGCACTGTCCAGACAGAAGTCACAAGACTGCTCTATACTGCTGATACAAAAAAGTTATTTAGCAGTTTATATTTAGTAAAATAATTGTATTTCCATGTTCTGTGTACTGTGGGAGACCAGATATAGTGAATGCGGGGTCCGGGGGAGAGCGGATATAGTGAATGCAGGGTCCAGGGAGACCAGACATAGTGAATGAAGGGTCCGGGGAGACCAGATATAGTGAATGCAGGGTCCGGGGAGACCAGATATAGTGAATGCGGGGTCCAGGGAGACCAGATATAGTGAATGCAGGGTCCAGGGAGACCGGATATAGTGAATGCGGGGTCCAGGGAGACCAGATATAGTGGATGCAGGGTCCGGGGAGACCGGATATAGTGAATGCAGGGTCCGGGGAGAGCGGATATAGTGAATGCGGGGTCCGGGGAGAGCGGATATAGTGAATGCAGGGTCCGGGGGAGAGCGGATATAGTGAATGCAGGGTCCGGGGGGAGCGGATATAGTGAATGCGGGGTCCGGGGAGAGCGGATATAGTGAATGCGGGGTCCGGGGAGAGCGGATATAGTGAATGCAGGGTCCGGGGAGACCGAATATAGTGAATGCAGGGTCCGGGGGGAGCGGATATAGTGAATGCGGGGTCCGGGGGGAGCGGATATAGTGAATGCGGGGTCCGGGGGGAGCGGATATAGTGAATGCGGGTCCGGGGAGACCGGATATAGTGAATGCGGGGTCCGGGGAGACCAGATATAGTGAATGCAGGGTCCGGGGAGAGTGGATATAGTGAATGCAGGGTCCGGGGGAGAGCGGATATAGTGAATGCAGGGTCCTGGGAGACCGGATATAGTGAATGCAGGGTCCGGGGAGAGCGGATATAGTGAATGCAGGGTCCGGGGACACCAGATATAGTGAATGCAGGGTCCGGGGAGACCGGATATAGTGAATGCAGGGTCCTGGGTTTAGTAACACTTGAAGGCCTGAGGGAGTCCAGTTCCCTCAAAGCACGCTGGATCAACCACCATGCTATGGTTGAAGTGTGGCCCTATAGACTTGCATTGGTCGCATTCTATGGCATAACATGTATGCAGCCATGAGCAGCTGCATGGTATGGTTCAGGCGGGTTGGGGTAGTAAAACTGCAGCTCAGCCACCCGTTTTAACATCTCCTTGCCCACACGCGTGAATGAAGCCTAAGAAGCGTATTTTTTATTCAGCATCCTAGGGATGGGTTGTTTCTTCAGAACTCACCTTCCATTTCCGGCGTGCGTTAAATTTCTTGAAGTTCTTCATGTTGATCGATGATCGACTTCTGTTGACGGCTTGCTTTCTGTTCAGCGGCTGCGGGATCAGAGACATTCAGTTACACTGAGCTAGTGTACCACCTACTGACAGGAAAAGAGCACTACACCAAACTGGATCCACGCGGAACTGTCATGTATGGGGAGGAGGACAGTGGGGGGGGTTAAGTTCCCTTTAACCACTTGCCCTCCAGAGGATTTACCCCCCTTCCTGACCACGCCTCTTTTTGCTACTCGGCGCTGCACTAATTCAACTGATAATTGCGCGGTCATGCAATGCTGCACCCAAACGAAATTTACGTCCTTTTTTTCACACAAATAGAGCTTTCTTTCGGTGGTATTTGATCACCTGTGCGCTTTTTATTTTTCACGCTATAGACAAAAAAGGCCAAAAATTTTGAAGAAAAACGATATTTTTTACTTTCGGCTATAAATAATATATAATAATCTCAAAGTTGGTTATAAATTTAGGCGAAAATGTATTCTGCTCCATGTTTTTGGTAAAAAAAAATCCCAATAAGTGTATATTGATTGCTTTGTGTGACAGTTATAGTGTCTACAAACTATGGTATAGATACTGCAATTTACGCCATTTTTTTGCTATACAGCGCTGCGCTAGTTTAACGGACAATTGCGCGGTCATGCAATACGGTACATAAATGAAATTTACATCCTTTTTTTCCCCACAAATTGAGCTTTCTTTCGGTGGTATTTGATCGCCTGTGCGGTTTTTATTTTTTGCGCTATAAAAAACAAAGTCTGACAATTTTGAGGAAAAAAAACAATATTTTGGACTTTTTGCTATAAAACATAAAAAAAAAATTTAAAAATCAAATTTAGTCATAAATTTCTGCCAAAATGTATTCTGCGACATGTCTTTGCTAAAAAAAAAACCCAATACGTGTAAATTAATTGGTTTACGTGAAAGTTATAGCGTTTACAAATGGCGGGAAAGATGCTGGGATTTTTAGGGTTTTTTTATACTAATAATGGCGGCGATCAGCGACTTATGGCGACGATCAGTGACTTATGGCGGGACTGCGGCGGACATTCTGACATTGGGGGGTACTAATTTGGGGTCACTGACATCCCCAGTGACACCAATACAGTGATCAGTGCAAAAAAAAAAACACTGACACTGTACTAATGGCACTGGGGAGGAAGGGGTTAACTTTATTATTCAGGGAAAGGGTTAACTGTGAGAGGGGAGTGTTTTTACTAGGGGGCGGGGTGTGTACTGCAGGGAACACCGCTGATCAGGAGAAACTCCTCTGTCCTGATCAGGTTGTCCTGGAGCTGTCAGGGAACTGGCAGAAAGCACAGCTACTGCAGCTGTGCTCTCTGTCAGCGATTGCCGCTGATCGCCGGGACATAGCCGGTAACGACCGGCTGTGACCCAGCGACTGACATCGGCAGGACAGGTAGGGCGGCGGCGCGCCTCGCGCGCCCCCTACCTGTTTTCAAAACACAAACCTGTGGTCAGGTGCAGGGATGGACTGATCATTCAGATACTGTGGCATTGCCCGAGGGCCCGGGGTTAGTAGGGGGCCCCATGAGATTCCCCATGGTACCTGTCATGGGCTTTTTTGGGAGTGGTTTGAGTGTGGGCGAGGACACAGGGGCCCCATGATCTCCTGTTGTCCGGGGGCCCCATGAGTTGTCAGGTGCAATGTTTTGGACAACCACAATGCACTGTCAGGGCACAGTCCATCATGGGGTGCAGCCGGTGAACAGCCCGCTGAGCGCCCGTACCGTTCACGTGTCCGCCGAACACACAACTGGCCCATGTGCGAGACGAACTTACGTTCGACTTGAACATGCAGCCCATCATTAACCATTAACATGACTTGCATGCCAAACTCTGACCTCCAGAGGGTGAAATGCGTCGAGGGCACGGCCAGGACGGAGCCAGGCTACTTCACTGACAATCAAGCTCTGATGGTATGTGGCATTTCAGGTTATTTACATGCAAACACAGATCAACCACGTCCTGCCCGCCATATAGTAATATGACGTACGCAAGGTGGTTCTCTTGTTCTGGGAGGACGTCATATGACGTCATCCCATTCTCACTGCGCATGCGCGGCTCAGGGAGCACGCAGCGCTCGGCGGTGCGCTGTGTCCCTCGGACACAGCGGATCATCGATTGCGGAAAGAGCCGAAGATGTCAGCTCGGTCATGTGATCAGCTGTGTCCAATCACATGTAAACAGGGAAATGCTGGTTATCGGCATTTCTCTCCTCACGAGCTGTCACGCTGACAGAGGAGAGGAGAGCCGGTAGTCGGCATTCCTCAGAGGGGACATGTACACTGATCATCAGGGCACTGATGATCAGTGTGCCCTGATGATCAGTGTGGCCCCAGAAGTGCCACCTGCCAGTGTCCATCAGTGCCTCGTGCCAGTGCCCATCAGTGCCACATCAATGCCACATATCAGTGCCTACCAGTGCACATCAATGCCACATATCAGTGCCTACCAGTGCACATCAATGCCACATATCAGTGCCCATCTGAGCTGCCTTTCAGTGTCACCCATCAGTGCCAGTCAGTGCCACCTATCAATGCCAATCAGTGCCACCTATCAGTGCTGCCAATCAGTGCCACCTATCAATCCCAGTCAGTGCCGCCTATCAGTGCCAGTCAGTGCCACCTAACAGTGCCATATATCAGTGCCATGTATCAGTGCCATGTATTAGTGCTGCCTACCAGTGCCTCATCAGTGCCCATCAGTGCCACCTATCAGTGTCCATCACTGCAGCCTCATTAGCGCACATCAGTGAAGGAGAAAAATCACTTATTTACAAAATTTTATAACAAAAACTAAGAAAAAACTTTTTTTTTTTAAATTTTCAGTGGTTTTTGGTTTGTTTAAGAAAAAAGAAAAAATCCAGAGGTGATTAAATACCACCAAAATAAAGCTCTATCTGTCACAAAAAAAACGATAAAAATGTCATATGGGTACAGTGTTGCATGACCGCGCAATTGTTATTCAAAATGTGACAGCGCTGAAAGCTGGAAATTGGCCTGGACAGGAACGGGGTATAAGTGCCCGGTAGGTGAGGGGTTAATGATTTGCATGCCTTGCCCACTGACAGGGGCGGACTGACCATTTGGAAACTCAGGCACTGCCCGAGGACCCGGAGTCAGTAGGGGGCCCCATGAGATGCCCCTGGTACCTTTTTCATAGGCTTTTTTCAGTTTGGGCAAGGACACAGGGGCCCCATGATCCCCTATTGCCCGGGGGCCCCATGAGTTGTCTGTCCGCCCCTGCCCACTGAAGAGCAAACCCGTGCGATCATCTACCAGTAACTTCATCACAGAGGTATATGGAGGCCACTGATGGCCAAGGACAGCTGTCAGTGTCAGTGGATCTTCCATGTGAGTGCGCCTTTATTTCCGACCGTCACCTACCTTAATCCATGGGTGAAT